ACCCTGTGCCAGGCTGTCTTCACTGGAGAACTCAGAGGGACAGGGTTGAGTTTCCCTCCCCGCCCCAAGCAGAACCCCGGCAACTGAAAACTTCCAAAACCCAGCTACAGTCATGCTCAAAGCTACTCTCCACATGCTCAGATGAGCCCCACCCATGAAGGAACCGGCAGAGGAGCCGAGGTATGTGGGACCCATGACTGAAATCTCCAAGCTCACTAGGAATGGGACTGGGCCTCCCCTTCCCAGTTCCCCAGTTTTCCAGTAGCTTGGTAGTTATACCCACACACCGCCCCAGATGCCATATAATTTCATCAGCTGTCAAGATGCAGAGACTATGAAATAAAGCTCCCGAAAGAGAATGACACAGAGTGTCCTGGAACACATTTGCAGCCGCACAACCTCTTACATTGTAGCTCACTGATTTACCAAAAGTAGAACACACAGGTTTGGGTTTAACATACATACTTGTAATCTCTTATACAAGGACTTAAATGGGTCTAGGATGAAATACAACAATCTTCACACACTTTCCCCTTATGGTAGTGGGAAGGTGCATGGTGGTAGAATTGGTGTTTGAATATTATCTGCAATGAACTATTGTGAATAACATTATAAAAATAAAATTAAATAAAAAAGAATTATCCCTATCATATGTAGTACAAAGAAAGGTAGCAACACAGGGCCAAAACAACACAAAGGGATAACCTGTACACACAATTTAGTTGGTGGGAGATATTAAAGTCCTTGGGGAAGGGCAGTCATTACATTGGTGATAGGTGTGCTGTTGGAATTTTGTGCATTGTAAACTGCCATTAACCATATTGTAAATCATAGAATCTCAATGAAATTTTAAACATAAATTAAAGGTGTTCAAATTGGAATACAAGAATTTAAATAATCAGTATTTACAAATGATATGACAATGTACTTAGAACCCAAAAGACTCCACTAAAATAGGATTAGAAAATTTAAGTAAGTAATATAAAGTGGCATTTTATGAAATCAATGTACAAAATTCATTGTACTTATGCATGAAAAGAAGCAGAAAGTGAGAGATTAAGAGGAAAATGTCAATTAAAAATTTGCATGCCAAATACCTAGGAATTAACAAAGAAACAAAAATATTTGTATACCAAAATAACAGGTCAATCACTGTCACTGCCACCATCCTCCCGTTTTTCATCAATTTGCTCGGGCGGGACCATTAACGTCTCACAACAAATTCTGAGAATTGTTGTTACTGTTTTTGACATACGGAATACGTCACGGATAGCTTGCCAGGCTTTCCTGTGGGGGCAAGATACTATCAGTAGCTTGTGGGACTCTCTGAGAGGGGCGGAGGAATTGAACCCCAGTTGGCCGTATGCAAGGCCATATGCAAGGCAGATGCCCTACCCACTGTGCCATCGCAGGTCAGTACTGAGGATAAAGAAAACAAGAAAGAATGAATAAACACTCCATGCTCATGAATCAATCCAATTAAGATTGTAAAAAATATCATTTTCTCATAACATTATAACAGATTTAATGAAATGCCAATTAAAATTATAGCAAAATAATTCAAAGACTTGAAACAAATATTATTGCAACTTATATAGCACCATGAATGTCAGTACAGTCAGAATAATTCTTATTTTAAAATGTGAAGAAGATGCTGAGCCAATATTACAATGAGTAAAGCACATGCCCTGCACAAGGCCAAGCCAGGCAGAACCTATGATGCTCTGATTCTTTCAGTAGTGGTGCCTGAGCACAAATCCTGGAGAAATCCCCGAGCATCACTGAGTGTGACCCAAACCCATTGTAGACTCAGGTGATATCCACTGATGACCATTACTAAAATGTGGGACTGCAGCACACAAATTGAGAGAGCAAGGACCCTAGACACTGCCTCACATACAGGCAGTCTTAACATCAGCTTAAGAGCAATAGCTGGACATAGAAAGATGTTGACCAAGACCAGTACCAGTTAACAGCTAATGTATCATCAGTTAAATGAGAAAACAAAAGAATTCAGTAGTTTCAACAGAGGGTCATAAATCTGCCCAAAGGAGTCTTTAGGACAATTCTCATATCAATGTTCTGGAAATGATATTTGAAAAAATAACATCGAAATGATCCTGATTTTTTTGGAGGAAAACTTAAATCTTATTTATTTTTTAGAACAAAACCACTAGGAAAATATATCACAATCTTGAACAGCAAACAGACAGGCTATAATATCAAGTAAAACATTGGTAAAAAGACAAGGCACTCATCAAAATGATAAGGCACTGGTACTGAGACAATGAAGGATGTAAAGCCCCAGGCAAAAATGTATTTGGAGAACGGGTTGTTTTCCTTTCCTGTAAAGGAGCCACAACTCCTGCCAACCCCTAGGTATTTGTTTTATTCTCTCTGTTCCCAAGGGGTTGCTTCCCTAGGGCTCTGTTATATTAGGGGGGCAGTGCACAACATACAATACTGAGTTTAGGCTTTCACTGTATTCTACTCATGAAAGCCAGGTTTTTCTAGATCCAATCAAAGTCTTTCAACAGTGAAGAGTTGCTCTATCACTGTTCATTCCTGTACACTGGTATACACCCAACCAACTCCCTCTCTCTCCCAGGGAGAGTGTCTCAATACCACCCTGTCACCCAGTTGCAGAGAGCCTTGGGTCCATTATGGCAGCCCATAAGAAAGAAACTAAAGAGAGACTCCTCCTCAAACTTACTCTAATATTGCCAGTTATGTTTCTGCAGGGTCTCCAAGCTGAAAGATGCAATGCTGGGAAACTTCAAGTGTGTACATTTACATTGTAATGGCCACAAATAAACACAAAGAATTTCAAAGTTCTTAAACTATCTTTGTTTGCCAACTCTGTACCTTAAACCAATTTCTTGCTATTGCATATAAAATAAAACCAAACAAAATACAGACCCAGTTCTCCCCCCTGCCCCCCCCCCACACCCCTAAATTAGGGACTTCATGGATTTTTGCTTTACCAGTTTATAAAAGACAATGTAATGATCTTTATGGTCAACAGGAGGTTGGAACACCTTCCTTCATTCTCCACCAGTTCACTGGCAGATGAGAGGAATCTGCCAGCTTCCTGGTACCCAACTGAGTGCTAAGAAGCAGCTGGCAAATTGGAGAACTGTGGTCTGGTATTAGAGATCCTACAGCCAGGACAAGCACCTGCCATGGATATTTAGCTTCGCAAATGTCTCCTGTGTTATCTCTGATCCAAAGTTAACGAGGTTTTTTTCTTTTTCACTCAAAGACTGGAAAAATAAAGGAACCAGTGTTCAGAGGCAAGTAACTAGTCTTAAACTTGCTGCCTTCCTTTTTTTTATTTGTTGACACTTCATTTTTCTTCATTTATTTTAAAAGGCCAACACTGGGGATATGGTGCTGCCAGCAGGTCAATCTGGACCTGTGAGACAAGTGCATCAGCAGCCTGATGGCACCGTCAGACTTTCAGATACACTAAAATTATTGCTGTGCCTTTGGACAGACCCCAAAAACTTGGGGCAAAGTTTACCAAGGAAGCAAATGGCCAAAAGTTAAATATGTGGGAGACACACCCACAAACCACCTCCAGTTCAGCTATATAATTGGAGGCATGGCCTCTCTGATTCCTAATTGAACTGCTTAATGGCTATGATCCCAGAGACTCAGAAACGAATCTTGGAACCCAAAGCCTTTTGGCAGAAATGTGTCCTGTCCCTGCAGTAGATTACTGGGGCTGGACCACTCCAGGTGGGAATAGGTTTCGTACGTTGGCCTGTTCCCCTTGGAAGCCCGGTGACCACCGTCCTTCAGAGGCCACTGGGCAGTCAGGTTTGGGCCTGCAGTGAGGAGACACTCGGGGCCTCACCAGATGGCAGTGGAACCAGCTCTTTCCTCCCCATCCCAGCGAAACCCTGACTATAAACATCCTCTCTGGCTCCTAATCAAGCTGATTAAAGGCCATGATTGCAGAGACTCAGAAACAAATCTTGAAACCCAGAAGCTTTTGGCAGAAATGCATGTTAACCACATACAAGGTGGTCGCTGCCTCAGAGCTTATTGGAAAGCCAGGTATGAGCCGGCGGTGACGGGGCAACTGCAGTCTCATGGGAAGGGAGGCAGTATGGGCTCATTCTTCACGCCCTACCAAGGTCACAAGTTGCCCCCCATGATCAGTTCTCTGGCACGGCCATGGCTCCAGAGGCAGAAGGACTTAATCCAGAGCCCAGCAGCCTGCGGCAGAAAAGTGAATGGACCATACGTTAAACTATGGCGCCATGCCTCCCTGGGAGGGAAAGGGTGTTGCTCTCTCCCGCCTTTCTCCCCCCCGCCCTCCCCCGGCAGCAAGGTGGCTGCTGCCTCAGAGCTTATTGGAAAGCCAGGTATGAGCTGCCAATGATGGGGCAACTGCAGTCTCATTGGAAGGGGAGCAGTACCGGCTCGTCTTTCACTCCCTACCGAGGACACGGGTTGCCCCCCATGAGCGGCTCTTTGGCATAGCCACAACACCAGAAGCACAGAAACCAATCTCATAATTATCCGGCTCTTTGCAGAAATCCGAAATCATTATATGATTCTATAACCAACTATAGAAAACAAAATATTTCACAATGCCATTTCAGCAATTCTGATTGTTGGGGGGGGGATTATAAACAATAATGGTGCATCTTTTGTCGAAATAATGAATGTTAATGTTAAAAAGAGTTAAGTGAAAATCATCTGCCTCACAGGCATTGGGAGGAGTGGGAGGGCAGTATATCGGGGTTCTTGGTGGTGAAAAATGAGTACTGGTGAAGGGAGAGGTGTTTGATCATTGTATGACCGAGATTTAAACCTGAAAGCTTATTAACTTTTCCCACAGTGATTCAATAAATAGATATAAGAAGAAAAATAAATAAATAAAACTATGAAAAAAAAAGGAAGGCGGAGTTCATGCCCAATTCAATCAGCTAATCAGTGGCTGAATAAATAGCAGTACTCCTACATAAAAAAATAAATAAAAGACCAACATTCCCATTTTTCTCTTTCAAAGAGACTCTTGCCCTTATTCTCCAGGGTCTGAGGCACAGACTTCTGGTTTTCAGTGAATGAGAGAGACTCTTTCATCTTCTTGGTCATGGTTGGGATGAGATGTATGTGGTCATCCACACACTTGGTCACACAATTCTCCAGCCGTCTTTTCACTTGAAGCTCTTTACTCCCTGCATCCAGTGAATCTTTGACTTTGTCGTTGCAATGCATGGTGTACTGGGCCAGGCAGTCCTGGAACTTCTCCAGCTCCCCCATTGCCAGGGCCTGGGCTTGGGCCAGCAGTGCATGGCAGCGCTCAATGCACCGGTGCACCTGGGTGTCCCCACAGCAGCTGGCACTGCACCGGAAATACACTCTGCATCTTCCAGATGTTGGACGCTCCAGTCTCTTCACCATGGAGTCCACCTCCTTCTGCACCCGCAGCTGTTGCACCTCTACCATGACGACCCCACACTCTATATGTGCTGTGCCGGCGCCCACATGAACTCATGCTCAAAAGGATCCTGATTTTTGAAAATTAACCGCCAGGAATAATTCCTGAGTGTATGAGCCAGGATTAAACCCCCTGTGCATTGCCAGGTGTGACCCAAAAATCAAAAAAAAAGTTAATGGAAACATTCGAATAGGAAGTAAACATTTCCAGCAAGACAAATGAAAATAGAAAATAGAACGAGACAAAATAAAGAGGATTTCATTAATAATATCAAGATTAACAACAACAGAATTATAGTGATTAAGCATGGAGAAAAGAGAGAGAGGGTGTAATTATGACCTGTTTGACCTGTTGAAGAAATTAATTGATGAAAATTACCGGTAGGGCGTTTGCCTTGCACGCAGCCAACATGGCCGACCCGAGTTCGATTCCTCCGCCCCTCTCGGAGAGCCTGGCAAACTACCGAGAGTATCTCGCCCGCACGGCAGAGCCTGGCAAGCTCCCCGTGACGTATTCAATATGCCAGACACAGTAACAACAAAGTCTCCAATGGAGACGTTACTGGGCCTGCTCGAGCAAATGGATGATCAACGGGAGGGCCTTTACTTTTACTTTACCCCAAATTGAAGTCAGAGATGAGAACACTGAATCAAGAGTCACAAACACCTGCAACACCTGCAAATCAAAGTAAATCCAAGAAAAAGAACAAGAGATTTTGTAAACAAAATAACACGTACAAAAGAATGTCTCCAGATAAAAATGTCACAAATAGGGAAACATATGTAAGATTTCTCCAATGAAATTCTACAAGCAATAAGAAAATGGGATGGCATAGACACTCTAGCACTGTAGCACTGTCCTCCCATTGTTCATCGATTTACTCGAGCAGACCCAGTATCATCTTGATTGTGAGACTTGTTGTTACTGTGTTTGGCATATCAAATACATCACGGGTAGCTTGCCAGGCTTTTCCGTGTAGGCAAAAAGCTTTTCGGGGTGGGTGAGATACTCTCTGTAGCTTGCAGGGCTCTCTGAGAGAGGCATTGGAATCAAACCCGGCTCTGCCAGGTCAGCCGCGTGCAAGGCAAATACCCTACCCACTGTGCTATCACTCCAGCCCATATACACAGTATGGAATAAAAAGAACCTCAAACCAAGAATCCTCTACCCACCAATGCTATTACTAAGTGTAAAAACAAAAGGATAAATACTTCTCAGACAAACAGCAACTAAACACATATTTAGAATTAAACAAACTCTGGCAAGGCTACTGAGAGGCCACAGGTATAAAGGAAAAATCAAGTAGCACGTGTAACCAAACCAAACATATATATATATATATATATATATATATATGCAGATTCTTAGAAAAATCATACAGGGTCCTAAGGATAAATAAGTAGAAAATCAGAACAGACCAATCAGAAGTAAGAAAGTAAGAACAAATAAAAATCTCCAAAATAATAAAAGTCCTTGTCTAGTTAGGAATCATTAGTGAGTTTTCCTAAGACTTCTGAGAATATTTGGTGCCCATTTTCCTCAAACTCTTACAAAATCAGAGGAGGAATTATCTCTAATAGCTTGCATTAAGTCAATATTACTCTAATACTAAAAGACAGAAATATTGTCAAAAGCAAAATTATAAACCGATATTCCTATGTACATATATACAAAACATCCTCATCAAAATCTTAGTGAATCTAATTCAACTATATATCAAAAGGATCACAAATCATGCTCAATTGAGTTTCATGTCAGGGAATGTAAAAACAGTTCAACTTATACAAATCAATGAATTTAAAACGTTACGTGACTAAAAGAAAAGATAAATATCAGAAGATTATATCAATTAAAGCAGATAGTGCTTTTAACAAGATTAAAATACATTCATGATAAAAATCATCAAAAAGTAGAAATGCCATATGATCCAGCAATTCACTTCTGGGTTATTCACAAACCAGAACAGAATAATTTTTTAAAAGATATAAGCCCGTTTATGGTCATTTCAACTTTATTTACAATACCTTATTGCCTGGAACAACTCAGATGCCAAGAAAAAATTAGTTGGCAGACAAGATGATACAATTGAATACTATGCGACTGTTAGAAGTTAAAAAATATTGACTTTTGGTGCAACATTAATTGATCTAGATGAAGTCATATTAAGTGAGTCATATCAGTCAGGAGAGATGAATAGCAGAATAACTCACCTATAGATGATATATAAAGAAACAGAAGAAGATAATAGCAACCATCAGTGTCCAATAACCACAGAATTTAGGTTAGCAAGAGATAATAGTAAAGTGAAATTGCCCTGTGGACTCATGTAGAGGTAGCACTGTAGCACTGTCCTCCTGTTGTTCATTGACTTGCTCCAGTGGAAACCAGTAATGCCTCACAACAAATTGTGAGACTTGTTGTTACTGTTTATGACATATCAAATATGTCACGGGTAGCTTGCCAAGCGTTGTGGTGTGGGCGAGATACTCTCAGTAGCTTGCCAGGCTCTCCGAGAGGGAGGAGGAATCGAACCCGGGTTGTCCCCGTGCAAGGCAAACACCCTACCCGCTGTTCTATTGTCCAGCCCATGTAGAGGTATATTAGCAAACTAACAAAACAAATACTGTCCTCCCGTTGTTCATCAATTTGCTCCAGCGGCCCAGTAACATCTCCATTTTGAGACTTGTTACTGTGTTTGGCATATTGAATACGTCACGGGTAGCTTGCCAGGATTTGTTGTGCGGGTGAGATACTCTCGGTAGCTTGCCGGGCTCTCCGAGAGGGGTGGAAGAATTGAACCAGACTCGGTCGGGCTGGCTACATGCAAGGCAAATGCCCTACCGGGAGCGATATTAACAATTGTCAATTTAATGATGGGTAAATAATGTGGTAATGTTGTACACCTAAGATATAAAAATTTGCAGTATTGGAACTAAAATTACCTCCAAAAACCAGATAAATAGCATATGTGTTTTTGTGGTGTATATACAAGAGTGCATAATATCATACTAAACAAAACATTGATATATTGGTATTAAAGCATTGTATAAATTCAATGCAATCCCTATAAGGATACCCATGACATTCTTCAAAGAAATGGAGCAAACACTCTTGAAATTTATATGGAACAATAAGCCCCCACGAAGAGCTAAAGCAATTCTTGGGAAAAAGAAAATGGCAGGAATCAACCTCCCTAACCTCAAAGTTTACTACAAAGCAGTAATAATTAAAACAGCATGGTACTGGAACAAAGGCAGAACTGCAGACCAATGGAACAGGGTTGAATACACTGACATCTCTCCTCAATCATATGCTCATCTAATCTTTGATAAAGGTGCAAGTAATGTGAAGTGGAGTAAGGAAAGCCTCTTTAATAAATTGTGTTGGCATCACTGGACGGCTACATGCAAAAAAAATAGGCTCAGAACTCTGCCTAACACCATGTACAAAAGTAAGATCAAAATGGATTAAAGACCTCAACATCAGACCAGAAACCATAAGGTACATTGAAGATAAAGTTGGCAAAACCCTCCATGACATTGAAGCTAATGGTATCTTCAAAGATGCCACGCCACTGGCCGAGCAAGTGAAAACAGAGATAGATAAATGGGACTATCTTAAACTAAGAAGCTTCTGCACCTCCAAAGAAACAGTGACCAAAATACAAAGACAGTCTACAGAATGGGAAAGGATATTCACCGAATACACATCTGACAAGGGGTTGATATCCAGGATATACAAAATACTGGTTAAACTCCACAAGAAGAAAACATCCAACCCCATCCAAAAATGGGGCAATGAAATGAACAGAAACTTTCTCAAAGAAGAAATCCGAATGGCAAAAAAGCACATGAGAAAATGCTCTACATCATTAATCATCAGGGAGATGCAGATCAAAACCACAATGAGATACCATCTCACACCTCAGAGACTGGCCCACATTCAAAAGAACAAAAGCAACCGATGCTGGCGTGGATGTGGCGAGAAAGGGACACTCCTTCACTGTTGGTGGGAATGTCCACTGGTTCAGCCCTTCTGGAAAACAGTATGGACGATTCTCAAAAAATTAGAAATTGAGCTCCCATTTGACCCAGCAATACCACTCCTGGGAATATATCCCAGAGAGGCAAAAATGTATAGTCGAAGTGACATCTGCACTTGTTTGTTCATTGCAGCACTCTTTACAATAGCCAGAAACTGGAAGAAAACTGAATGCCCAAGAACAGATGACTGATTAAAGAAACTTTGGTACATCTACACAATGGAGTACTATGTAGCTCTTAGAAAAGATGAAGTCATGAAATTTACATACAAGTGGTACAATATGGAAAGTATCATGCTAAGCGAAATGAGTCAGAAAGAGAGGGATAGACATAGAAAGATTGCATTCATCTGGGGGATATAAAGTAACAAAGTATGAGATTAATACCCAAGAATAGCTGAGATCAGCACCAGGAGGATTACTCCATAACTTAGAGGCCAGCCGGGTATCCTAGAGGAAAGGGCTGTTCAGATAGAGAAGGGAGCACCAAATAAAGGATGTTTGGAGGATCCTCCCAGGAGGGGAGATGCATGTCGAAAGTAGACTATGGACTGAACATGTTTGCCACTCAATGCCTCTTTTGCAGACCACAACACCCAAAAGGAGAGAGAGAACACAGGGGATTGCCCTGCCACAGAGACAGGGGGGATGGGGGGATGGGGGTGGGAGGGATATTATCCATGGTGGTGGAAAATGGGCACTGGTGGAGGGATGGGTATCTGATCATTGTATAATTGAAACCAAAGCACAAAAAATTGTAAATCTACAACTTTAAAAAAAATAAAATAAAATAAAGGGAAAACAAACAAACAAACAAAAAAAAACAAAAAAAACAACAACAACAAAAAAAAATAAAATGTACATACAGACCAAAAGGGCAGAAAGTCTCAGAAATATATCCACACACATACAAAAAACTTATCTTTGACAACAGTACCAAGAATACACGTAGAACAGCATCTTTTA